TAAGCAACCAGAATGACTGGAATGTCCAGTCGCTATGATGCGTAGGAGCTGCCCCCTGGTGGTCAATGCACTCCCACAGCCAACCTCCCCCTGCCGTCCAACTTCCCGCGGTTCCTCTCCCTAGCCCCCGGGCTAGGATTGGGAACCAGGGGTGGGTGGCAGCGGACGCGAACCCTTTCCCAGGGAGGCTGAGGGCCAGCTCCCTCCTCAGGGCCAGCAGCCAACCTCACGTGCCCCGACCCTCCCCCTGGCCAGCAGGCCCCAATCAGCCCGCTGCCCACCCGCCGTGGTGGCGGCACAGTGGTGAGGGAAGGAGGAGAGGGGGAGGCAGGGAACCGCGTGGTGGCAGGGCGCCAACGATGGCAGTATCAGCGTCTGGTGTCAGTTCCTTCCATGCCCAGCCCAGCGACCATCCCCTCCTCTCTGGCCCTTGATCAGCCTGGCCCCTATCGGCCTTGATTGCCAGCCAGGCCCAGGGACTCCACCCATGCATGAATTTCGTGCACTGGGCCTCTAGTATTTATATAAGTCTTGAAATCAGACAGACTGATTGTTCCCACTTTATTCTTTTTTCTTTATTGTTTTAGCTATATGTTTTTCCTATGCCTTTCCATATAAATTTTAGAATAATTGTTCCTATATCTACAAAATATTTTGGTGGGATTTTGATAGGAATTGCAGCAAACCTGTATACCAAAGTTTGGGAGATTTGACATCTATACTATCTAAATCATGAAAATGGTATGTCTCTTCATTTATTTAGATTTTCTTTTATTCCTTTCACCAGCATTATATAGTTTTCCGAATACAAGTCCTGTACCTATTTTGCTAGATTTATACCTAAGTATTTCATTTATTTTTGAATGATTATAAATGATGTTTTACTTTAATTTCAGTGTCTGTTTTAATTGCTAGTATATAGAAATATAATTGATTTTTGTATGTCTATCTTATATCCTGCGGCCTTGCTGAAGTCACTTATAAGGTTTGGTTCTCTGGTAGATTCCTTGACAATCACCCAGATAATCACATCTGCAGATGGGGACAATTTGATTTCCTTTTTCCAATCTGTATGCCCGTTCCTGCCTCATCGCACTGGCTATAACTTCAGTACTATGTGACTAAGAATGAGGAGAGCAGACATCCTTGCCTTGTTCCTAATCTTGAAGGGAAAGCATTCAGTTTTTCACCATTAAGTATAACATTAGCCTAAGGTGTTTTTTGTTTGTTTGTAATTTACATTAATTTTGTGAATAGATTACATTATTTCTTAAATATTGGATCAGTCTTGCATCCCTGGAATAAAGCCCACTCTTATGAATATAATTCTTTTAATATATTGTTGAATTCTATTGTCTAATCTTTTTTATTATTTCTTTATTGATTTCAGAGAGGAAGAGAGAAGGAGAGAGAGATAGAAACATCAATGATGAGAATCACTGATCGGCTGCCTCCTGCACGCCTCCCACTGGGGATTGAGCCCACAACCCAGGCAGGTGCCCTTGGCTGGAATCGAACCCAGGACCCTCCAGTTTTCAGGCTGACGCTCTATCCACTGAGCCAAATCGGCCAGGGCTATTGGCTAATCTTTTGTTGAGGATTTTGCATCTACTAGTACATTCAGGAGGGATATTGGTCTGTAGTGTTCTTTTTTTTTTTTTGTACTGGTTTTGGTATCAAGCTAATACTAGTTTCACAGAATAAGCTGGGGAGTGTTTCCTCCTTTTCTATTTTCCAGATTTTATGTAGAATTAGTGTTAATTCTTTGAATTTGGTAGAGTTCTCCAATGGAACAATGTGAGCCTATAGATTTTTCTTGGGGGGTAGTGATTTTTAAAACTACAACTTGTACTTCTTTAATCATGATAAGGCTGTTCAAATTATCCACTTCAAACTGGGTGAGTGGTGGTAGCTTATGCTTTTTGAGGAATTGTTCCATTTCATCTAAGTTGTCAAATTTATGTGTGTATTCCCTTATTATCTTTTTGACATCTTCAGGGTCTGTAGTGATATGCTCAGTTGCTTGATATTGATAATTTGTGTCATATTTTTATTTTTTTATTTAAAAATCTTACTAGAGATTAGTCCATTTTGTTGATCTTTTCAAAGAATTGGCTGGCTCTTTTCAAGTTTAGCTCTATTGTTTTTCTTTTTTCAATTGCATTGATTCGTGCTCTTATCTTTATTATAGCTTTCTTTCTGTTTACTTTGGGTATATTTTGCTAATCTTTTTCTAGATGCTTGAGATGGGAGCTTAGATTATTGATTTGAGATTTTCCTCTTTCGTAATATATCTATTTTATGTATTTTGTAACATATCTATTCCTCTCATATTGCTTTAGGTGTGTCCTAAAAATTTTGATATGTTGTATTTTCATTTTAAATTATTTTAAAAATTTCCTTTCAGATTTCTGTTTTGACTCCTGGATTATTTAGAAGTGTTTGTTTAGTCCTCATAGCACACCAAATGCATTAACAGTGGTGCAAGACAGAGGCCAGGTGAATAGCGGAGCTCGCAGATTGCACTGAGAGTCAGCACTGTGAGTTATTCCCAATGCCAGTGCCTCTCCTCGAGGAGGGAGGCAGGATACAGAGCAGGAAGTGGCTGCCAGTGACCCTTTCCAACCTGGGAAGCACCAATAGTTTTTGGTTCCGGAACCTCCCAGAAAGATGAGGACCCCCACATCTTTCCTCCCTCACCCTCACATACAAACCAATCTTCTTAGAACAGAAAGTCAAGGAAGCTGGCAGAAACCTAATAAAGGTCTCTGAAAGCAGTGTTTCTGCATTTGAAAAATAAACCATGTCTATAAATGCAATAATTCCATGGGTAAGTAAATGTAATGAACCAAATTCAATCTCTGCTAAAAAAAAAAAAAAATTGTGTTGTTTAATTTCCAAATGTGTGTGAAGATTTTCCTGTTATCTTTCTGTTATTGATTTATAGTTTGAGTTCATTGTGAGAATACATTCTGCATACAGTTTCAGTTATTTTAAATTCTTTTGTTGAAGTATAAGGCCTGCACTTGAAAAGAATGTATATTCTGTTATTATTGGTTGGAGTGTTCTGTAAATGTTGATTGGATTCTTTTGGTTAATGGTGTGGTTAAGTTCTATATTGTAATTATTCTACCAGTTACTGAGGAAGAGGGGTTGAAGTTTCCAACTATAATTGTGGATTTGTCTATTTATTCTTTTAGTTCTGCCAGCTTTTATTTCACATCTTTGGGGCTCTGTTGTTTGATGCATACACATATAGGATTGCTCTGTCTTCTTTCTGAATAGACCCTTTTATCATTATATTATGTCCCTCTATGTCTCTGATAATTTCCTCTGTTCTGAAGTCTACTCTATCTGCTGTGATAGCCACTTCTGCTTTTCTTTTATTAATGTTTACATGATATATCTTTTTCCATTATTTTACTTTCAACCTGTCCACAGAGTTTTACTAGCCATTATTTTACTAGCTTCAGTGACGTATATAAACCTTACCTCCCTATGTCCTTTCTGTTTATAGTTGTCTTATATATTTCCTCTACATATAGTTAGAACCACGTCTGTTGCATCAACTTACAATAATAATTCAGAAAACTTGAAAAGGAAAAAAAGCCTGTTGTATTTACTCAAATTATGCTTACTGTGTTCTTTTCTGATGTTCCAAGGTTTATTCTTTTATCATTTCCTTTTTGTTTAGGGACTTCCTTTAGTCATTCTTTTAGGGTAGCTTTGGTAGTGACAAATTCCTTTAGTTTTTCTTTATCTTCAGAATGTCTTGATTTTGCCTTCATTCTTAAAAGATATTTTCACTGGGTATATGATACTGGGTTGACAGCCCTTTTCTTTTATTACTGGAAAACACTGTGCCACTTCCCTCTGCTTCCAGATTTCTGTTCAGAAGCCCACTGTCATTCTAATTGCTTTTCCCTATAGGTAAGGTGTGGCTTTTCTCTGGCTGCATTTAAGACTTTCTTGTCTTTAGTTTTCAGAAGTCTATTTATGATGTGTCTGGAAATGACTTCCCTTGAGTTTATCCTGTTTGGAGTTTTCTCAGATTTTTTAATCTGTAGGCTTTTGTTTCTTTCCAAGTTTGGAAAGTTTTCAGCCATTATTATTTCTTTAAGCCCCACTTTCCTTCTCCTTACCTAGGACTCCATGAAACAAATGTGAGACTTTTTGTCACAGTGTCACAGGTCCCTAGGGCTCTGTGTTTTTCAGTTTACTTTATCACTGTTGTTCAGATTCAGTAATTTCCATTCTATTATCCAGTTTACTAACTCTTTCCTCTGTCTTTATTCTGCCATTGAACGTATCTAATGAGTTTTCTAATTTTTGCTTTATATTTTCTTTTGCTTTATGTTTTCTATCTTTTGCTTTCAATATTTTTTATTTATTTCAAGCGTGTTTGAAATTACTTTTGAAGCATTTTTATCATGCCTTACTTAAAAACTTTGTCAGATAATTTTAACATATCTTATGTCAGTGTTGGTATCTATTGGTTGTCTTTTTTTCATTGATTTGTGATGTTTCTGGTTCTTGGTATGATGAGTGAGTATCTATTGAGACCTAGAGTTGTATGTCGTGTTATGAGACTCTGGATCTTACTTAAGCCTTCTATGGTAGCTGGCTTCCTGTGATGCCTCTGTGGTAGGGGGAAGGGCGCCACCTTGTTACTGGCAGGTGTGGTGCAGGTAGATGTTCAAGTTCCCACTCGGCCTTATTTGACATCCAATTGTTGGCTCCTTTTTATTGCTGGTTTGGGAGTGGGAATCTGTTTCTCCAAGTGGTCTCCACTGATACAATGGGAGTTGAGGGCTTGTTACCAGCTGATAATAAGAAAGTCCAGGCTCCCTACTTAGCCTTCCCTGACATCACCTGGTGCAGGGTTGTAGCCAGACTCCTCAGTCAGCCTCTGCTGGCCTTGGTGGTGGTAGAACCACAGTTTTTCTGTGGTGTTCGGCTGCAAAGTATTATTGTCTAAATGTTTTCTTCTTGCTAAGCTTCTCTTTTCCTAGTACTTTAATTAGAGAGAGCAGGCTTTTGTTGAAGGTATTTTTGTTATTGTTGAAATTTGGATTGCTGAACTCTTCAGCTCCATGATTTGGATGATGAGGCAAAAGAAAACCCAAGGAACTCACCACTGTATCATTGCCCCAGTCCTGAGGTCCTCGGCAGTCGTTTTTTTCTCCACTTTCTAGAATCTTTTTATGTTTGCTTTATACATAGTGCCAGGGGTTTTAGCTCTACTTACCCAGAGAAATATTCCATCTTCCAGAAGTGGCAACACATCAATTTTTTTAAAATGCTTCTAAGTGAATCTAATGTATAGCAAAGTCTGTGAACCACTAAGTTGGCTCAGATTTCTCAAACACCAAGATTGGTCTGTCTTTGAGAGCACCTTTCATAAAGGCGACTACTGTCCCCGGAAAGGGTCATGATACTATCCCTTTGACTTCCTTCCTTGCCCAGGTCCAAGTATGCAGGGTTACTCAACTGAGAGTAGCCTGTATGGAAGGCTTTGGTGACTGCTGAAAATGGTGTCAAGAGGATAACTGTTATAGTCAATATGGTTATGGTAGTTATTTTCTTAGGAGAAGAAAGGCCATTAATGAGATTGAGGATTATGAAAAGACTTCTCATGTGGCTGCCGAAGTCCTGTGTACTGTTTGCCTTAAGCTATGCATTTATTTTGAGTGGTTTTCTGTATCTGTGTTTTATTTTACATATTTTTTAAAAGGTTTAAAAATAATTTAATGGTGTTGTCTTCTGTTGACTGCCATCTGCAGCATCTGACTGTGGCCCTTCCTTTCCACAGGCCTCAGCCCTACGGAGCTGCCATTTGATTGCCTTGAGAAGACCAGCCGAATGCTCAGCTCCACATACAACTCTGAGAAGGCTGTTGTGAAAACGTGGCGCCACCTTGCGGAGAGCTTTGGACTAAAGAGGGACGAGATTGGGGGCATGACAGATGGCATGCAGCTCTTTGATCGCATCAGCACCGCAGGTTACAGCATCCCAGAGCTGCTCACAAAATTGGTGCAGATAGAGCGGCTGGATGCTGTGGAGTCCTTGTGTGCGGACATACTGGAGTGGGCCGGCGTTGTACCACCTGCCTCCCAGCTGCCCACTACATCCTGAAGAGCATGCCTGTGGAACATTCTTCTTGGGATGCACCAAGGATCTAATGAGAGCTCAGGATCTAATGACTCTAGAGCTGTGGGTGATGCTAACAGATGGCCAAGAGTCAAGGGTATGTTACCAGAGTATGCCTTAGGCTGTTTCAAGGAACAAGAGGAAATGAGGCCATCTTCCACTCTAACTAAAGACTAAAGCTAGGATACTCCCAGCTACCCACCTGCAGCTCACCAGGTAGAATAAATATTTATTCAGCTAGCCCACTCACCATGAACTTGTTTAGGGGATATTGTTGGGTACTCAAGTGAGCCAAATAATGTGGGGATGACAGAGGTGAAGAATCTGGTCCCTGTTTAAGAAGTTTACAACCCAGGGAGAGACAGAGACATGTCCACAGCCACTTTGCTAGAAGATATCAAACAATCTGAATGAGGGGATTCTAAGAAAATGTAATAAAAGTTCTGAGAGAGATCGATGGCTTCCCACTGAGGTGGTGAAGGCGTCATCCTCATGAGGAAAGCAGCTCGGGAGTTTGGTAAAATGGCTACAAAATGCAGACACCCACTGCATGTATTGTTTCTGGATCAATACAAGTAGTTTCATAGGATAAAGTTGCCTCTTCCTGAGGCCATCATATTCCCGCAGCCATCTGGTCACTAATGGGAGAACTTGCTCTGGAGCCTGCTTTACGTCACTGATAGGCAAGGCATGTGTCTGTCCAACCAAGGAGACCTGTGCAGTCGTCAGTTTTATTTACTGCATGAGTTCTAGGCCTGGGGACCCAGTTGTTTTTTATTACACATGAATTGCCTTCCAACTCTCATTTTCAGTCAGATTTGACCCTTTGGGGTCAGCGGTGCTCAAAGGACACAGCCATTTATATTATATGTCAGGCTATTTTTGCTTCAAAGAGAAGTGGGTGGTAACTCTGCTTAAAAAGGGAAATGATTACTTCCTAACAGCTCAGCCACACATAACTCTTGATTTCCAGAGAGTGTGAGTTACACGGCGTGAGAGTTTTAGGCTCTGGCTTTCTGAGCCAGTCAGGGAAAGTAGAGCCCCCCTGTGCATGCAGGGAGAGCCTGGGCTTGGCGCCCAGGAGCCTGGTTCCAATTGTGCCAACATGGGCCATTTTCTTCTTCTGCAAGTGAGAGACTAGTGTGTGAGTCTATAATCACGGAAAAGTAAGGTTCAAATAAGCAAAAAGAAAGTGGAGCTATAGGAAATGCCAGGCCTCTGAGGTGCTCCATGGAAGTGAATACAGCATGAGTCACCAAGTAAAATGGGAATAAAAACAACAAACCCTCAGATTTCAGGTTTTCACAGTAACTGCAATTGCTTGGCATACATTCAGAAATGAAGTTAATAAACTGGCATTGTTCTTGGCAGATTCTCTTACTACATCTGTAATTGTAAAGAGCTGGAGAGCAGGGTAGGGTCACACCAGGGGCTTGTTTGGAGCTCACTGCTGAGCTCCCTAAGAACAGGTCTGACTGTGGTTGTTACTAAATTAAAACCAGCCTTTCACTTATAAAGCAATGCTTCTAAAATTACAAGTTGCATGACTGAGCAAATCTTTTGGGGGTGGAAATCAGTCTTATGTTTAAAGCCAACAAGCAATTTCCCACCAATGAATGTAGAACATGCTGTGACGGAATCATAATGAATATTTAATATCATCATTTACTATGTCTGTTTGCTGCTGTTTGCCAGAACCTATTTGATATATTCTGCAAGCTAAATCTGCCACAGCGAAATGTAATTACCCTTATCAATTCCTCCTGAAGTCCTGGGTGCCCCTATCCCCTGCTTTGTGATAACGATGATGAGAGTCTCCCCCTTAATCAGACTGCAGATGTCACATGTGAAGAGCATGCATTTCTAGGATAATAGCTTGCAGCTTCCTTAGAACAACATTTGCAGTAAAGGAGCAGGGATGGCTGTTCTCTGCCCCTCCCTACACACACACACACATACACACGCACATGCACACGCACTTGTGGGTGGGGAGAAGAGTTCCCTCTCCCCACCCACTGTTGAATTCTGGGGCCAGAGGTCAACCAGCATCAGATCAAGTTTTATTGACTTAACCTGCCATTTCTAGGGAGCTAGTTACACATTTCTTTGTCATTTACTTACTTGGGGACAAATCCAAAAAAATGTTTACTCTGATAAGCTTTGGCCTGCATATGGAATTCAAATCAATGAGACCATATGATTATTACTGACTAAAGCTTGGACTCCACCCTGACATTTTGTGTGGAGACAGTCATTATTTTGCTATACGCAAAAATATTTAGAAAACACCCCAGGCTAGAGCTGTGGCCTGTACCTAATGAAGTCTTAATTGTCAATTTTTTGTCTAATTTTGTATACATAACTTATTATATTTTACAGTTTCAATAAACAAACTAATAAAAAGGAGAGCGACAGACTGCTACAATGTGAGTTCTTTGGGAGGGGCCTTTGGGGAAGTGGAAAAGATTCTGATTTCTCTGTTCCTGGTTATTGCTCTGTGTATAACAAATCTGTAGGACTGGGACCAGCAGATTTGAAACACCTAAAATATGACCTGAGCCATTCACTCAACAAAAGCAAGCATTGCAACGAGATCATGTGAAAAACACTTGCAGCATTGCTTTCCCAGTTGCCATCATTACTTTATAAGGCATTGATTCACTTAACTACAGCTATGTAATATACCGCCCCAACATTTAGTGGCTTAAGCCAACAATATATATTTTTTAATGTTTCCATTGATTTTAGAAAGAGAGGGAGGGGGAGGCATAGAGCCATCGATGAGAGAAAAACATTGATCTGCTGCCTCCCACACGCCTCCACTGGGGGGTGGAACCCGCATCCTGGGCATGTGCCCCAACCAGGAATCAAACCAGCGATCCTCCTAGTTCATGGGTCGATGCTCAGCCATTGAGCCACACTGGCCAGGCAACAACCATTTGGTTATTACGATTCAGGGGTCAGTAAGCGTTCTAGCTGACCTGGGTTGTGCTAAGATGGTTATGGCACAGCTGGGACCTCTGCCTGCTGGAATACTTTCACTGGATTAGCTCTGCTCCATTGTCTCTCCTCCTCCTCCTCAAACCAGTCATCTAGCCAAGGCCTTCATCAGGGCAATGAGAGAAGCTCAAGAGTGAACAGACACAGAGTTTTTTCAGGCCTATGCACAGAACTGGCACGCCATCACCCCCAGCTCATTCTGTTGGCCAAAACAAGTCATTTGGCTAACCCAGAGTCCAGGTGGGGAAACAGACCCCACACTTATCTGCATGAACAACTGTAAGGTTGAAGAGTGAAATGTCAAAAATTAGGGCAGATGATATACAATCTGAAAAATATAATGATGAAAAATATAGCAAATGTGCACAGGTATATTAGTTTCCTACAGCTGCTGTAACAAATTACTACAAACCTAATGGTTTAAGACAACACGGATATATGATCTTATCATTCTGGAGGCCAAAAGTCCTAAAATCAAGTTTTAAGGAGGATTGTGTTCCTTGTGGAGACATTAGAAAATGAACCTGTTTCCTTGACTTTGCTAACTTATAGAGTCCATTCGTGCTTCTTGGATGATCCTCTCTTCCACCTCCCAAGCCAGCAATCGCATCGCTTCCACTGCTGCTTCCATCACCACACCTCCTTCTCTGACTCCAAATGCTGCGTTCCTTGTTCCTTTACAAGAATGATGAGTCAGAAACGTACCGTTTCAAGATCCTTAATGTAATCACCACTGCAAAGACCCTTTGCCACATAAGGTCACACATTCACAGCTGCTGGAAACTAGGAGGTGGACATGTTGGAAGGGCCATCCTTCTGCCAATGACAGTATGTAATGGCTGTGGAACACAGTGTTGTAACCACAACAGTGAGTGTGTGACTCTGGAATATAACAATGTAACGACGACAGTGAGTGTGTAAGTGGCTGTGGAATATGATGATGTCACACCGCAGGGGAAGCACTGTGAAGGCAAACTGTCCAGTAGGGTCTATCTTCTGTGTGGCTGAAATGTCAGCTACGCAGTGGCTGCCTTCCTTCTGAGGACAGAGAAATAGACTGTGCTGCAGGCCTCCCCGTCCCTGATTAGGTGAGCTCTGTTTTCCTCCACTTTCATCCTCAGTTGTCCAGAGCGGATGTGGCAGGGTCACCTGGGTCCCCAGTTTCAATTGGAGAACATCCCCTTTCTAGTGAACCATTCACTTTGGTGACAATGATGGCTTCAGAAGCCTAAATGAGCTATTGACTTTGTAATGGACCAACGGGTAAGGAGTATTTTGCTGCTTTGGTCAATGCATCGGGGCCCTTCAAATATATAATGCATTTCCCAGTAGAAAACTAAAATCCTGGCACCTCTTCCTATTAGAGTGGCTGGTGACATGGGTCATGAAAGAAATCACAAAGAAGAAGAAAAGTAGTAAGGAAATTTACTTTCCAAGGGTGGAAAGGGCCAGATACTGTTGGAGTAATATGGGTCCTGAAGAAAGAATCGCTTGGGCTTTTAAAGAGTAAGGAAAGAAGGGCATTGTGTTAGTTTAGTGGCTCAGCTATAACAAGATGCTGGGAGTTATCTTGAAAAGTTATAGATGTTTGGTTTTCAGGAGGTGGTCAGGCGGATGTACTGAGACTGTGCCATATCAGCACTTTCTCATGCCTGTGAAACAAGCTTAGAACAAAAGTTGTGAAGAGTTCAAACGGGGAGGCTGTTTGAAAGGGAGAGGGAAGGGCAGGGGAGAGGAGGAGGAATACTAATTCCACTTCTCATTACCAGAGACTACTCAGTATGAGTCATCCTGAAGCTGTTAAAACATCAGGGAAGAGGGGAGAAGGAGGGCAGCCTTCTCTCATACTGCTATGTACACAGGAGACAACGGTCTTGGGGCTTAATTACCAGGTGCTTATCATAAATTGTGGAAAAGTCACAACATAGAAAAGGAAAGGCTTATTTTCTGTTCTTTCACTTCTCGTGTATGTTGGAGTGTTTTAGAATCAGGAAAACTTGGAAGTAGCACAAGCATTACACTTTAGAGCAGCGGTTCTCAACCTGTGGGTCGAGACCCCTTTGGCGGTTGAACGACCCTTTCACAGGGGTCCCTTAAGACCATCCTGCATATCAGATATTTACATTACAATTCATAACAGTAGCAACATTACAGTTATGAAGTAGCAACGAAAATAATTTTATGGTTGGGTCACAACATGAGGAACGGTATTTAAAGGGCCAGAAGGTTGAGAACCACTGCTTTAGAGGGTCAGAGGAGTCTTTCTTGGCTTTCAGCTCCTGATACCTCACGAGGAGCTGAAGTTTTGTAGGTATTTTATTTTTTTTCAAACCAGCATAGAGATAACCACAGGCAAAATGGAGAGATATTTGAAAACGGTTTTCTGTGAGTTACTACAAACTTGGCCTATCCCTCAAACTAAAAGTTACCTAGTGGTTCCATTTAAACAAGGTTATTCATGTTTTGTTTTGTTTTTATCTTGTTTTCATAATTCTGATCAGCATCACTTACACAGGATAACTATTGCACTGGGAGAAATGCTCCTATTCATTCACAGTCACCTGTCTTGGACTTAAGAGAGTTTCAAGCCATTTCTCTATGCTTCATTTTTCTCATCTATAAATGATAATAGTAATATTATGTTGCTTTTAGAATTGTTGAGAGAATTAAATTATGTAATAAATATAAAGTACTTCATCAGGCACATATAAAGTTCAACAAATGTTAGCTATCATTACATTATTATCTAATCTTGACATGTGTGGAAGCTAATAAACTAACTGCAAAGAATTTCTAAATAACATTTGGGTAGGAAAGATGATTATAAGACTTACAATCATTACTGCTAGGAGAAATATCAGTATAAGAGAGAAGGAAGAGGAAGTCAGTCCAACTAGAGAAAGTGGTGGTGCTCAGCGTGCCGCTGTCCCTGGTGGTACCATGGGGAAGAGGCAGCAAGATCACCAGTGGGGAAACCAGAGACTTCAAACCTGCAAGAGCCCTCGGCCTCTGGGCCCTGCAGCTGCCGCCCTGGAGTAATGGCGCCCTACAGGAAGAAAGGTAAAAGAGGCCTCTTGTAAAGCAAAAACTGGATTGGTTTTTTGTTTTATTTTGTTTTTGTTTTCTTTTAATCCTCACCTGGGGAAATTTTTTCCATTGATCTTTAGAGAGCGTGGAAGGGAGGGGGAGAGACTGAGAGAGAGAAACATCGATGTGAGAGAGACACATTGATTGCTTGCCTCCCACATGCACCCCAACTGGAACCGGGGATTGAGTCTGCAATGGAGCTATGTGCCCTTGACTGGAATCAAGCCTGGGACCCTTCAGTCCGTGGACTGACACTCTAATCACAGAGCAAAACTGGCTAGGGCTGGATTGGGTTTTGAAACCATCTACCTGAGCATATCACATATAACTGATGTTAAATTATGTTGCTATCTAAGAACAAAGCAAACATCCTTCCAATCATCTGCAATTCAAAGTTTAGCATATAACACAGATAAAAGATTTACTTCAAAACTGCAGCACATCAGAAAACCAAGACTGCATTACATCTTCTAGAGTTCAAGTTAAAAATGCCTGTAGGCCTTTACTCAGTAAACACTTCAGGACTGGTATAAGAAAATTGCCACGCCTGGCCCAGTGGCTCCATTGGTGGGAGTGTCGTCCTGTGCACCATAAAGGTTGTGGTCTTGATTCCCAATCAGGTCACATACCTAGGTTCTGGTTCAATCCCCAATTGGGACCCATTCAGGAGGCAACCAATCGATGTTTCTCTCTCTCCCCTTTCCTTTCTCCCTAGAATCAATAAACATATCCTCAGGGGGGAAAAAAGAAGAAGAAGAAGAAGAAAGAAAATTACCAAAATCCTTCCTTGATGTTAGTAGGAGATTTTTTTTAATGATTTTTTTATTTTTCACTTATAGTTGACATGCAATACTATATTAGTTTCAGGGGTACAGCAGTGTTTAGACATTTATTTAACTTATGAAGTGATCACCCTGATAAGTCTAGTACTGATTTGGCATCTTACAAAGTTATTACAATATTATTGACTAGATTCCCTATGCTGGACTTTACATCCCTGTGACTATTTTTGTAACTGCTAATTTGTACTTCTTAATCCCTTCACTTTTTTTCATTCATCTCAGCAGGGGCTGTTAAAATGTAACCCCTCAGAAGTTCTGTGTGGCATCAGAGCCAATTATGGAGAACTGATCTCCAAGGGAACTGACTGTGTGTTAAGTCTTTCTTTAATTCCATCAACAACTCATGTGGTCCTTATTTATTTATTTATTTATTTATTTATTTATTTATCTATTT